GCTCAATGCAGGAGCTGCCCTCTGGTGGTCAGGGCGCTCTCACATGGGAGGAGCTCTGCTCAGCCACAAGCCAGGCTGATGGCTGCCAGTACAGCGGTGGTGGTGGGAGCCTCTCCTGCCTCCTCAGCAGCGCTAAGGATGTCCGACTGCAGTTTAGGCCTGCTCCCTGCTGGCAAGTGGACATCCCCCGAGGGCTGCCGGGCTGCCAGAGGGATGTCTGATTGCCATCTTAGGCCCAATCCCCCAGGGAGCAGGCCTAAGCCAGCAGGTGGTCATCCCCTGAGGGGTCCCAGACTGCGAGAGGGCACAGGCTGGGCTGAGGGACCCCCCCTCCCCCGAGTGCACAAATTTTTGTGCACTGGGCCACTAGTAAGGTAATAAAAGCCACAGGTATAAGTTCCAAAGACTGGTGCAGAAATGTTCACTCTTGTGTTCACCATAGCAATGTTTAAATGAATAATATGAAAAGCTGAATGAATTCTTTAAGGCTGAATGAATCTGACCATCAGGCTAGGCCACGGAGTTGGAATTAAACCACAGGATGAAAACCACACCTGACTGGGAAAGGTAAACCAGGTGACCTAGTAAACTTCTTTCAGAAGCTGCTTTTTTAATTTGTGGAAACTGTCCCGGATGACATGATTATTATGAAGTGAAGTTATTAATAAGCATTCATGGACAATGCGTTCTACTGGGTGGAACAAATTCCAGTAGAGTCCAATAGGAAGAACAGAGCTGGAGTGACTCTTCCTGTGTGGGAACCAGGCTAGATTAGCTTTGAAAACAATATGGAACATTGTCATCACCCTGTGTAACTCAAAAAACAAAACTAACAAATCCCACATGTGAAGCCATAAAATAAGTATCAGGAAGTCCAACCCAGTTCTGGTTTTGCTCATTGCCAGCACAGATACATTTTTTGAAATTACTTCCAGAAACAGCTTTTGGTGCTCCTGTTTTGCTGGTGTCCTAATCTGTGCTTCATCTGCCTACTTGGGGCAACTACACTGAAAAAAGGTGTCTTGAAAGATAATCTTTACCTCCCTGTCCCTGGTAGGTATTAGGAACAGAAAATGGAGTCATTTAGTTGAGCTTAACATACTATTAGCAAAAGAAACAAGGATTCATTTTGCAAGAGCTTCTTTTTAGTAATAAGGTAAGACTCAGCCAAACCTTCCCCCTTTTACAATGCACTTTGTCTCATCAAAGACAATTATTCCCACCAATGTTCCCTCTCCTGGGAGGAGACATTCTAAGCAGACCACGTCTTTACTAAAAATATACCTGAGTCATTTACGCTGCTATTCCTCTTGGCATAAGCGCTCCGAACCACCTGCTCATAAACCTGAGCACCTATTGTCCTCATGTTGTCCCGGATCAGAATGCCTTGAGCTTGCATCATGAAGAGGTAGGTGTTCACTGCAGGAAAGAGAAGGGAGAGGAAAAAAGGGGTGAATTCAAAAGCAACCATTAAAACAAAAAACATATATAACTTTGGTTTCTTTACTTTTTTAAAAACTCTTTCAGCTCTAAAACCCTACAAATGCCATAACTCTGTTTTCCACACTGGGCTCAAAGTTTTCAGGACACTAACATTCCTTGGGTAGCTAGTAGGACGTAGGGGAAATTTCTGTCAATATTCAGCAGTTGCAGAAAAACCATACATTTAAAAAACTATACTCCACCAGGTCTTCAAATATTCAATCTGTATTCTAGCAAGGGGACGATCAGAAAGACCTTTATGAATCATTAAAACCTTTAAAAAAGATCTCTGATCTCACATATATGCATAACCACAGAAACAGACAACAGTGCGGTGATGGCCAGAGGGACAGTACAATGTTTCTCAACCTTGTGTAAAGTGTAAATAAAAGCATCTTTAAAAAAATAAGTTCTCTGATCTCTTTAATTCACCTTCTCAATACCTGATGGAAACCACTGACTGCTATGCTTAATGAAACACTCAGATCTAGGTCTGGTCTTGGCAACCTTATGAAAATGGTGGACTAAGACTCCAGCTACTTTTCTTTGGGGTGTTTGGAGAGAAAAAGAAAATAATGGAAGAATGTAAGCAGTATTCACTCCCCACCCACCTCCGCCCTGAAGTCCTAAGTAATGGGAAAAAGAAGGGGCTAAGTACAAGTGTCAATTGAAACATATTTGCTTCGCAATATGTACAAATATAAAATCATGATACTGTACAACCAATGCTAATATAATGTTATATATCAATTAGATATTAATAAAAATCAGAACAGAACAAAAATATATTAACAAATGATTATTCTGATTAACTTCCCAATCACTGTCATTTTGGAAAAGTGAGTTCCACTGCGTTTTCTTTAAGTCTCTCTATGATATGAAACTCAGGGATCACAAATACAAGTGAATATAATTCTGGTGTTCCACTTGCCATCTCAAATACCATGCCATCTGTTTTCAAGAATCGAGAGGTCTAAAGACATAGCTTCTTAACTAGTCAATCTAATTTACTCACTTTGCCTGCACCACTGTGAAGGGGGGTGTCTCACAGGGCAGCACATTTACAAACCTAAACTCTGGTGTATTAGGATCCTCTGAACCCTTGGTTGAACTCCAACCAAGCCCCAGGCAGGTACTCAATGGAGAGCTAGAGCCACTCCTCCAGACTCAATATACATGGCCTGCGGCTGCCCTGGCTCTTCAACTAGACATCATTATCACAGTGTCCTGTACCTAATGGGCAGTAAATAACTAAATGGGTGAAGTTTAGAGGTCAATTTACTTTATTCCAAGCTACTGTGTTTGGTGCTTGTGCTGGCGATGGGGGTGGACATGAGGACCCGCCAACTGCCTAACTCTCAATATTGAAAACCTCAGGTGGCCCACATTAAACAGGAACATAAAATATTTCAAAAGATTTCAAATCATCTCTGAGGTATATGCCGAGCCATAAAATAATAAACAAAAGAAGTCAATGTTCAGAATGCTTTCAGAAATGAGGTAGCACCTTCAAAGTAGGTCTTGCGTTGACTGCAAGGCAAGCACCTGCTTAATGTCTGGCGTTGGCCGAGAATAGATCAGAGAGTGTTTATTCTCTATAGCTGGAAAGTTACAAAAAAAGATAGCTTTAAATCCTTTAAAAAATGTAATTCTGTGAAGCCTCTGAAAACAAAGAGTTACATTTCATTTCCTATTTACAGCAGATAGCACGGTGCCTGGTCACAGTGGTAGGCAGTCCATAACTGTATGTTAAACATAAGATTTAAACTTCAATATCAAATTTCTAAAGTGGTTCTGTGGTATTTTTTATCCTTTGGGCTACAGAATATGAACATCGCATGTATTATATATAACTGCCCTGAAATCCTCCTTCCATTCCCAACCTACTATGAAACCAGTTGTCTTCAATAGCATAAAAACATGTATTCGTTGAACATTACGTGTAAAACTGTTAGGCACTGCCAAAAATACACTACCTCCTTCCCCACAAATTTCACTCTCTTCTCTGCAAAGGACACTTTAGTCAAGCCCCTCTTAAATTCTCTCCCTTTCTTAGTTCTAGGACCCCAAACGCTAAGGCACTTTTCAAACTTTGCCCTGCCCCTCTCCTGAGCAGCTTTTTAAAGCCTGCTTCCTAGGCCCCACCCCCAGAGACTCTGATTCAGTGTGTCAGAGAGGGGTGGCGAAGACTTGCAATCATAACAAGTTTACAAGTGATAGATGTGGTTGATCAGAGAACCCTATTTCTGGAACCACAGTTCTAGGGAACTTCAGCTACATAATAAATAATAGCAAGTAACATTTATTGAGCAATTAGTTACATAATTCTTTATCTCATTTAATCCTCATAATTATCTTAATAGGAAAGTAAACAATCCAATTTACAGTCAACTTCTAGGCTTTAGTTTCTCCACGTAGGTCAACAGCGAAATGGACTTGAACCAGGACTAGAACTTATGCTCTAACCACTAAGCTTTAAGACCTTGCTCATCCATGTTCTAGCCACAATCTCCTCAAAGATTTCAAGAACCCTGAAGCTTTAAATAATTACTCTTAAGGAGATAGCTCTCAAATCTTTATCTCTTACACAAAGCTGCCAGATGGATCTTTCTTAATCACAGACTGATCCACACTGCTACAGCTCAAAGCCTTCTATGTCTCTTGCCTTCATCCCTGGGCTTCTGCTGACCTGCAGTGCTTCTGTTCTTCCTGCCGTGCAAACCTTATTAATCCTTCAAACCCGTTTACATACTTCTCCTGTCTCCCCCTTCGAAGATCTCTATGGTTCTGTTACAGATTATCAAAATGAGCCTTTTGTTTATATTTTCTTAGTTTGCTAACAACTGTCTCATGTGTCAGTATTGTCATCCAACCAATAAACTTAAACCACATTTTATTAAAGCTTTTCCTAAGTATCCACAGGAATGAGCACAATGCTGAAAAAATAAAAGGCCGAGGAAATAAATTTTACAAAACAAAAGAAAATATCACAAATTCATAGATTTGGGACTGGATGGGATTTTAAAGAGCACTTTTCAAAAACACCTAATGCTTCCACACCACCCCAAAACTATGCCTTCCAAGAACAGAGTCAGCACGTAAAATACAGCCATCTTCAAGGAAAATTTTACTTTGGGGTGGGTCCAAAATACCTCCCAGTCACTTTTACCTACTGGTTCTCATTCTGCCCCTTGACAAAACAGTCAAATCCCTTTCCTGCATTTCAGATATTTTCAATCTCCCTCACACCCAACCAATCACCCTTACCTCTACCCTAACTGTCCCATCTCCCCTCCCCCGCCCCCGCCATGTGCCCCTCCCATGGTATCATCACACTTCCCTCCCCATCCTGGCTGCTCTCCTATGGATACTGGCCCTGTAGTCTACACTTGACAAAGGGCAGTGCCCACGCTGGCAGAGTGGTCCAGGTGCAGTCTGACGGGTCCAGAAACAAGCAGCCCTGTTCCATCTGTTACCAAAGCTCTGTCAACTCGAGCCCCCTCATGGAGACCCACATTCGCAATAACTCAAGACCAAAGAAATTCTCCAACATAGATGTTCAATGATCTAACCAACACACCATTTCCCACACCAGAGCCACCCCCCACCCCCATGTAATAATTAGTAACATCAAGTGATTCTCTACAGAACTCACAATGGGATTTTCTGTTTTGGATATTTCTGTTCATAGCATTTAAAACTTCCATTACATGGCAGTTAATCAGATGATTAATACTGTTGTTGGAAAATAGTCACACCATATTATTGATTCATATTCAGCTTGCTGGAAGCAAATCCTCAATCTTATTAGATATGTTGCTGCTAAGTTACTTTTCCTGTTCTGTGCCCATGCAGTTGGTCCATAGAGCTTACAAGTGTCCCTATTAAAAGTCTTATTGCTAAATTTAGCCCAGGGCTCTGGCCTAAGCTAGGAAACGTATATGTACACACACTGCTTTCAATCTAAATTATCTCATTTAAAATTCACATATTTGTGAAGCAGATAGCATCTTGATTTTTTAGTTTAGATAAGAAAGTCAAGTCCTCCAGAAGTCATTTACCCAAGGTCACAAAGTTAGTGAAGTCAAAAACTGAGAGAAGTGAGGTTCTGACACATTTTGATGAGCTTTACTCTGAAAAAACAGTACTTTACAATAATGTGGTCCTGATCAACAGTGGCTGAATCACAGCTTAAACACGTTTTTCTGAATTGACACACAGCTGTTAAATCCCCCACCGGTTCCCTATCTACTGAGTAGCTACTTGCCTGAGAGCTTTCCACACACAGTCCTAGGCCACTGGGGGACAAGGATGAGTAAGACAGCACAGGATAAGGTAGACACAATTAAATAATTATAATACAGTATGACACGTGCTAAAATAACATTTACTACAAATTCAGGCGTGCTAATAACTTTTACACACTTTCATGAGAAATTGTAATAATTATCCAGCCCCATATCTAGATGGAGGGAGCTCTGATGACCACAATTTGGTTGAGAAAACTAAGCCCCATTCAGGTTTACATAATGGGAAATGCCAGCCAGATGCCAATGTAAGAGCCTTGGGCCATGGCTTTAACTGAAGTTTCCGGGAGCAAAGCACGGGTCTCCTAGCAGGAAGACAAGCCCTTCCCCTCTCCATTCGAATTCCAGTCAACTTCCATAGCCTATGAATCAGGTAACATGACTGTCACTTGAACACACACATTAATAAATGCCACTGACTCATAAAAATTCCTCACAAGATAATGAAATCTGTCATTCCAGATTAGGAGCAAAATGAACCCAAGAGGAAAAGAAAGAATTACAAGACTCTATATACTTAAGAGTTTATAATTTTTTATCCTAAATGTGTGTATCCTTAATGTTTGTTACATCTGGCTTGGTAAGCTGAAAGAGAAGTAGAAAAAGAAGGCATTTCCTGATCACTCTTTA